GCAGGGCTCTGTGACTCCGGTGCCATTGGTCTCTGTGCCATTGTGAAAGGGCAGCCCCCACTGTGGGGAAGTGAAACGGAGGCAAGCCTGGGGTCGTCCTTGCTTGTCCAGAGGCAGCCAGGCCTCCAGACCTCCATCTTTGCTGAGGTTGGCATTGGCAGGTGGGCGGCAGTGGTGAGTGGGGATGGCAGCAGTGAAGTTCTGCAAGGTGTTGTGGGAAGCCATCAGCAGTAGGGGAGCAACCACCAGGGTGACCTGGATCAGCTGGAAGCGTCCGACGCCCCCCACCTGCTTCAGGAGGTCATTAAAGGCCATGGGGCTGGGCCAGGCTGAGTGGTCCGGGACTGAAGACCTCCAGTCCGAGGACTTCTGTCTGTACGCCTGCTGCCCTTTGCCTGAGGAGCAGGGCTGTTGCTGCCTTCGCAGCTGAGTGGCTCCTGGAGCTGGACGTGAGCCGGCTCTGTGGTGGGACAGCGGGCTGGTGGACTGCCCCTCCTTTCTCTCTCCCCTGGTTCTGGCCCTCCCTTGCCCTCGCCTCTTTTCTTCACTTCGGGGGTCTGGACAGCTCAGCTTTCAGGGTCTGCTGGAGCCCTGACTCTTGTGCAGGCAGCTTTTAATCTTTGGCCTGAAGACAATGAGTTAAAGAGTGACTTGGTGTCAGGAGGATTAACCCTGTGAGTATCCCTTGTGTCAGTGGAATCTCTCCAACAGGGTAGAAAGGGCAGGAGGGGAATGTTGAGACTCAGAGTGGATTCACTGGGGGCAGCCATCTGGGCACCTAGATGCAGAAGGGGCACAAGGTGGCACCTTCTGTCCTCCCTCTATCGAGGAATCTTGTCTCTGGGAAACGTGACAGCCTCCTGATGGATTTCTGAGGACACCATAGTCTATCTTCAGCAATAATACCAGAGACAATACGACAAGTCCCATTAAAACTGAAGTTCAGATTGATGATCAATTTTTTAAAAGTACAGCCCTAATATTGCATAGGCAATGTTTATATCCAGAATTATGTGTTGATTTGAAGTTCAGCTCGGACTGAGAATCTTAAATTCTTATTTGCTAAATTGAGCAACACTGGCCTTTGGTCTTCAAGGACAGCTCACGTCTTGCAGGACCACAGCTTTGCGCAACTGGGAGAAGCAGCGGTGGTTAGAGGTTGCGGACCGAGGGCAAAATCAGACACATGGGAGATCACTCTTCTGGGGTCTCAGTTTTCATTTTCTTTGTTCTTCCTTTTTATTCGTTTTTTAAAGACAGGGTCCTATGTAGCTCCGGGTGGCCTCCAGGTCAATACATAGCCAAGGCTGGCCATGAATGATTCCTCCTGGATGCACCTTCCTAGTGCTGGGATTTCATATCTATACCACCGCACTGTTTACCTTAATTTTTTTTTTTTAAGACAAGGTTTCTCTGTGTAGCTCTGGCTGTCCTGGAACTTGCTCTGTAGATCAAACTGACCTCGGACTCCCAGAGATCCACCTGCCTCTGCTTCCTGAGTGCTGGGACTAAAGCCATGTATCACTACTGCCCTACCTTAAATTCTTTCTTTCTTTCTTTCTTTCTTTCTTTCTTTCTTTCTTTCTTTCTTTCTTTCTTCCTTCCTTCCTTCCTTCCTTCCTTTATCTCTCTCTCTCTCTCTCTCTTTCTCTCTCTCTCACTCTCGTGTGTGTGTGCGTGCCACAACTTGTGCACAGAGGTCTAAGGACAGCTTGTAGGACTGGGTTCTCTCTTTCCATCATGTGGGCTTTGGGGATTGAATTCATGTCATTAGGCTTGGCAGCAAGCAACTTTGCCTGCCAAGCCATCTCACTGACCTCTCTTTTCTCCTTTATTTAAATTTTCCCTTTGCTGTGTTTTTTTTTAATCTATTTATTTATTTATTAAAGATTTCTGTCTCTTCCCCACCGCTGCCTCCCCTTTCCCTCCCCCTCCCCCAATCAAGTCCCCCTCCCTCGTCAGCCCAAAGAGCAATCAGGGTTCCCTGCCCTGAGGGAAGTCCAAGGACCACCCACCTCCATCCAGGTCTAGTAAGGTGAGCATCCACGAAACTGCCTAGGCTCCCACGAAACCAATAGGTACAGTAGGATCAAAAACCCATTGCCATTGTTCTTGAGGTCTCAGTAGTCCTCTTTGTCCTCTATGTTCAGCGAGACTTGTTTTTACCCTGGCTTTTTCAGACCCAGGCCAGCTGGCCTTGGTGAGTTCCCGATAGAACATTCCCCTTGTCTCAGTGTATGGGTGCACCCCTCGCGGTCCTGAGTTCCTTGTTTGTGCTCTCTCTCCTTCTGCTTCTGATTTGGACCTTGAGATTTCAGTCCGGTGCTCCATTGTGGGTCTCTGTCTCTGTCTCCTTTCATCGCCTGATGAAGGTTAATATTCAGGAGGATGCCTATATGTTTTTCTTTGGGTTCTCCTTCTTATTTATCTTATTTAGCTTCTCTAAGAACCCGAATTATAGGCTCAATGTCCTTTATTTATGGCTAGAAACCAAATATGAGTGAGAACATGCTGTGTTTTTTATTTCTAAAAAAAATCTTACTTTATTTCACATGTATTGGTGTTTTGCCTATGTGTGTCTGGGCACCGTATTCATGCCTGGTACCCACAAAAGGTGTCAGATTCCTTGGAACTGGCATTACAGACAGTTGTGAGCCACACTCTGTAGGTGTGTGACCCGGGGTCCTCTGCAAGAACAGACAATGCTCCTAACCACAAAGCCACCTCTCTATCACCCTCTTCTATTATTTTTAAACAATGAGCACGAACCTATCTTATTTTTAGCCACAAGTCTAGTACCTGACTTGCTTTGGTTCATGAACCGTGGTTACTCACAATCAGAGGGAATGTTGGACACTAACTGGATGTTTCTGCAGGATCTGATTGGTTGGGTCACAGACCGAGGAGGCTGAGGGTGGGTTTCTGCTCTATGGCTTTGATTTGCAAGGTGCGTCTGGTGTAGAATATTGAACCCAGGAGTCAGTCCTCTTGTCATATTCTCAGGCTGTGTGACCAGGAGCAAGTTAGCAAACGCCTGTGTACCTCAGTGCCCTTGCTTTCAAAATGCGGATAGTTTTCATGCCCCCTTTATTTTGTTCCTGGAGGCTTAAATGACCCAACACAGGTAAAGAGTATAAAGAGGGCTTTGTCCAAGAATGGTGGTTCATGCCTGTAGTCCCAGCTCCTGGGGAGTCTGAGGCAGGGGGATTAAGCTCAGGTGTTAAAAATCAGCCTGGACAGGAGAATAGTAGTTCCAACTTAGTCTTGGCTACATGGTGAGTTTGATGGCAACCTGGACTACATGAGACCCTGTTTTTTTATTTGTTGTTGTTTTTTCCCCTCAAGATAGGGTTTCTCTGTGTATCCCTGGCTGTCCTGGAACTCACTCTGTAGACCAGGCTGCTCTCAGATTTACAGATAATCTCCTACCTCTACCTTTCAAGTGCTGGGATTAAAGGTGTGCACTACCACTACCTGGCTATGAGACCCTGTCTTAAGGAACCTCCCACCAGGAAAAAAAGGCCAGATCTTATGTTTATGCAAACCACACTTGCATGTACTAGATTGGGAGGGGCTTATTGCCTACTTAGGTCTTCAGGCAATGAGGTATTAGTCTTAACTTCAAAGCTAGCTTCCCCCTCTTCCTCCTCCCCCTCCTCCAACAGGGATTCATTATATGTGCCAGGCTGGTTTCAAACTCATGGTTCTCTGATCTCAGCCTCTCAAGCACTCCGGGATTATAGGCTCGGAGCTACTATATATGGCTAAAATCTGAACCCTTAACTGTGGCTCTCGAGGTGTTCATTGCCAAGCTAGAGGGGTTTTGGAGATGAGCTATCTTTGTATGTAGAGAAGAGGCCCAGAGAGGCGGTTGTAATTCATCCCAGCCTCCCCCTCCCAATGTGTGTTGATTCTAGTTGGGCTCAATGGGTGTCCAGATGCCTGATACATTCTCCAGGCCAAGGTATATAAGAACCTGTGGCCTGGGGAGGCTAAGACAGCTGGACAAACAGCTCAGAGGCGGTGGGGTCAGTTCCCTGCCAAGACTTAGTCCTCTTGTAGGGAAGTAGGTGGAGTGCTGTGGGTAGTGGGGTGACCTCCTGCAAGCACCCTTGCTTTCCAAGCTTGTGCCTAATCCTGCTCTGGGTAAGAACTTCTTTCTCAGCCCCTGTCTTAGTTAGGGTTACTATTGCTGTGACAGACACCATGACCAAAGCAACTTGTGGAGGAAAGGGTTGATTTGCTTTTACACTTCCATAGCATAGTCCGTCACGGAAGGAAATCAGCACAGAAATTCAAACAGAGCAGGAACCTGGAAGCAAGGTTGATGCAGAGGCCATAGAGGGGTGATACTTACTGGCTTGCTCCTCAAGGCATGTTCATTCTGCTTTCTTATAGCACCCAGAACCACCAGTCCTGGGATGGCACTGCCCACAGTAGGCTGGATCCTTATCCATCAATTAGTAACTAAGAAAATACCCCACAGGATTATGTTCAACCCATCTTTTTTTTTTAATAAAAAAATTGTATTTACTTAGAAGCATTCAGAATGTCAACAAAACAGCTGCAATTTTTTTTTGCAATTACAGAGTGGTATTCAGTTAACAGAACAACAATTATCTTCGTATAAGCTGCATCAGAGAAAACTGAAGATGAAAAAAAAAACCAAACCAAACCAAACCAAACCAAAACAAAACAAAACTACCGTCCCCATATATAACTAATTTGTGCTGTGCACCAACAAGAACCTGCTTTAAATTTTCATGCCAATTTACAACCCCCAGACTGTACCAGGCAAGGTTAGTGGCCATTGAAAATACCACTAGGACAAGGCTATCTAAAGACACATTCGGTAGTGTGTTAACTGTACAGAAAAAGACACTGTACAGTTTAAAAACAAATCTTACACAGCCTTACATTTCAATTTTTTTCTTTAAAAGGAGTGAGTTGTGTACAGGGGGGTTAAATGCTTTATAGACAAGAAAAAAACTGCGCTAGAACCAACTTATTCATCATCATCTTCGTCTTCCTCTTCCTCCTCCTCTTCATCCTCTTTGTCTTCCTCATCATCTTCCTCTTCCTTCTTTTTCTTGCTCTTTTCCACCTTGACCACCCCCTTTTTCGCTGCATCGGGTTTTCCTTTAGCTCTGTAAGCAGCAATATCCTTTTCGTACTTCTCCTTCAGCTTGGCAGCCTTCTGTTCGTAGGGCTGCTTGTCATCTGCAGCAGTGTTCTTCCACATCTCTCCCAGTTTCTTTGCAACATCACCCATGGATAAGCCAGGGTGTTCTCCTTTGATTTTGGGGCGATACTCAGAACAGAACAAGAAGAAGGCCGAAGGAGGCCTCTTGGGTGCATTGGGGTCCTTGAACTTCTTTTTGGTCTCCCCTTTGGGGGGGATGTAGGTTTTCATTTCTCTTTCATAACGAGCCTTGTCAGGCTTGGCCATGTCTTCAAATTTCCCCTTTTTTTTTTTAGCAGACATGGTCTTCCACCTTTCTGAGCACTTCTTGGAGAACTCTGAGAAGTTGACAGAAGCATCCGGGTGCTTCTTCTTGTGTTCCTCCCGGCAGGTTTGCACAAAGAATGCATATGAGGACATTTTGCCTCTCGGCTTCTTAGGATCTCCTTTGCCCATGTTTAGTTGATTTTCGTTCGCGAGGCACAGAGTCGCCCAGTGCCCGTCCGGCTCTCGCTTGCTGCGGCGCTGTCTCTATGGAGCTCAATGTACTGCCTGTTCAACCCATCTTACAAAGACATTTTCTTAATAGAGGATGACCATAGCTTGTGTCAAGTTGGCATAAAACTAGCCAGTGTAGCTCCTGACCAGTTCCAAGTCTGGTTGAGTCTATAAAAACCTCCACTCGAGACTCCAGAAACTGAACTGTGGCGAGATCCCAGGATTTTCAGATAGGGGGACTGCCCTTGTTGACCTTGTGGGTCACTAAAATTCAGGATGGGATGCCTCTGCTAATGGATCATTGGCTTAAATTCTGGTTGTGCTCAGAGGGAGGGTGTCAACTTTAGAGATCAGAAAGAAATGTATTTCTTTTCTCAGAACCACATACCACTAGAATTGAGAGCCATTACTCAGCTGAAAACATTTCATGGTACAGATAAGGAGACGGAGGCCCCGACAGGAGCCAGTGTTGCCCATGACCACCTTGCAAGTCTCGAGCTAGGCTCTTTTGACTCTGTTGTTCTCTCTACTGTGTGAGTTGCTGTCACATAGGTTAGATTTTTTGGGATAAGTGCTGACTTGTATCGCTATCGTCTGTTAAGTCAATGGGTTTCAAAGTGTGGGACTACATGTGATTTTTATTACTTTGTGACACCTTTCAAATAAATAATTTACAGATCAAAGACGACACTTTGGCTCAGATCATGTTCTGGAAGCATGGGGTTGAAACGACCCGGAGAGTTCAGAAGACTCCAGCTGCCTGTCAGCATCTGAGCCGGAAATTTCAGAACCAAAGTGAACCTTGTGCCTTGTTCCTGGCTACCCCAACCAGCAGGCAGTGTAAGTCCATCTAAAGCCACCACTTATAAGCTAGACATGAGCTGGGGATGTAATAAAGCACCCACCTAGCATGCAGGAAGTTCTGAATTGGATTCCTAGAAACATGTAACATGGGACATTGTGACACACAAGTAATCCTAGCACTAAGGAGGTGGAAACGGGAGATCAGAAGTTCAAGGCCATCTTCAACTGGCTATTCAATACATTGGAGGGCACACTGGGCTACATGAGACCCTGCCTCGACAAGACAGAAAAATCTCACAAACTAGATATGAGCTCATTCACCCATGAGGTGACCCAGAGGGTGTTCCACATTGGGTGGCGATTTCACTGAGTTAGTTGTTGTCCCTGCTCAGGAACAGAGAGAAGGGAATAGAGACGACTGAGGAACAGCAGCAATGGAGAGAAGGAGGAATGGAATTTGGCGTTTCACTGTGAATCTTGACAGCAGCAACGGAAAGTGCTTTCTGGGTATCTTCCTTTCCCTCACTATGTGTCTGAGGAAACACCTTGCAGCGGTGCAGAAATGGACATGGTTAAGACATTTCAGGAGCCATCCTGAATTCTGAACCACTGATGGGGAGAAGGCAGAGGCCAGTGATTCACACTGAGCCCAGCTCTTCTCTGTCTGGTGGAGATCCAGTTAAACCAAGAGGAGGCCTTGCTGGACTGATTATCAGCTGATCTTAGGCACCAAGGTTGGAGCCCCATCAGTAGACATCAAGTTGTAAGGTGAAGTCTATAGCCTTATTGCAAAAGTCAGGTCTCCATGGTCTGTGTACCATCCCCAAATTATCTAAAGGTTGGCAAGGGAGACTCCTGCACCCAAAGTGTAAACGGCAGTTTCCTATGGGGCTGGATGCCTGGCTGGTGTGGTTGGGGCTTGGAGTGAGTAGCAGAAGGGTTCTTCTGCTCCTTTGCTCCCTCTCCTTCTGGCTCTTGCTTTCTTTCTCAGACTTACTTCCCCACTTCCTGTGTTCTTGACTGTCCTACCCAATAAACCATTTGACATTCAAATCCTTATCTTGGGGGTTTGCTTCTGGGGAAATCAATGCCAAGGTGCCATAGAGACCACAATTCATTCTACAATCAGTAAGGTACCTAACCCAGGCTTTAGAGCCTCAGAAGTCCTTTGGGAGGAAGTTGCATAGTTGAGAACCCCCCACTTCCACCCAAGAGGAGTTGTGGGTAAACCAAATGTAGCGGGAATCAGACGGGGAAAATTCAAGTGTGGAGTGAAAGGCTGGGTCAGTTTATAAGCAGAAAGAAACTGAATGAGGCTGGGGTTCAGTGTGTGAAAGTGAAGTGCTAAAAACGAATTGCTGAGGCAGGCTGGGGCCTGATTCTGCTGGGTCTTGTAAGAGGGTTGAAATTTTATCCCCGTGAGAAATCACCAAAAGGTGGAGGCAGGGTGCAGTCTAATTCTTTTAGTGTTTATTAAGCACCCTCTCAAATCTCTAAATACATACTTGAGAGTAGTCATTAGCTCTGTGTTTGAGAATGGGCGATCATAGAGTATGTTGGCGTTGTCCTATATGGTCACCAATAACCACTGCCGAGCACTTGAACGGAGCAGATCCAAACCGAGTGTCTTGGTTCATTTTTTGTCAACCTAACACAAGTTACAAGGAGAGAATCTCAGTCGTGAAAATGCCCCCATAAGACTGCCCTGCAGACAAACTCGTGGGGGTATTTTCTTGCTTAATGATTGATGTGGGAGGGTCCAGTCTGCTGTGGAAGGTACGGCCTCTGTGTTGGTGGTTCTGTAAGAAAGCAGGCTGAGACCGCCAAGAGGAACAAGCTAATAAACAGTGTTCCTCCGGGGTCTCTGCTTCAGTTCCTGCCCTTGTCCAGACTTTCCACAGTGATGGAGTGTGACCTGATTATTGTAAGATGAATCAAACCCTTTCTTCCTTGAGTTGCTTTTGGTCACAGTGTTTCACCATAGCAATAAAAACTCTAACAGAAGCAGGGTCTCACGTAGGGTTCTGGAACTATTTGATTAGCAGGTTTTGGGACTACAAACCGTTGGAGAAGGGTGAAGTCTTGAAGTTCTACCTTAGCTCTAGAGCAACGGTGCCTAGTGAGTATGGATCAAAATGTCAAACGGAGAGCCCACATAAAATCTCCCTTTTAAGGTGTTTTGTCATGGTTACAGAAAGCAGACTAACACAGATCTCTTCTCAGGAAATGGATTAGTGCCTGATGAGGTAGCTGGAAGGAGCCAGCTTTGTGTGGACGCTGTAAGAATGTTCTCACCAGACACTGATCGCCAATACCTTGACCTTGGTTGGTCTTCCCAGCCTCCAGAACTATGAGCAATACATTTCTATTGTTTAGACAGTTCACCCCGTGGTAATCTGTTATACCTGCACAAACAGACTAGGATACATGTATGTGTTCACAGTAGCTCAGCTTGCATGCAGCCAAGTGCTCATATCTGTATGTTCACACAGTACAGATGGATGTGTGTGTGCTCACATGTCCACATGGTATTCAGCCCTTTTTCCCATCCCCTTTCTTAAGCAGCATAGGCTGAGATTTTCATTGTGATTTATTGAAATTTTCCACTAAGGAAAGGATTTGGGGAAGGAAAGAACTGCTACGACATCAAGGGAAATGGAGATGGAGATGGGACAATGGAGGAAAGTGACCAACACAGAGAGGGTAGATAAAAGAGTGACAGGGCCTGGGTTGCAGGGAGGATGAGTGTGGAGGTGAGTATTGGAAGCCTTGTGGCCAGAGCTTTGAACAGGTGAGGTCTGGGCTGTGGGCTATGGTGAAGATGGTGAGGTGAGGATACCTTTTCTGAACTCTCAGAAGTCTTTGCTCTAAGAGCATGGGCCTACCCAGGGTCTCCCTGAGTCCCCAAGGTGCTTGACTGGAGGGGTCCTGCTTGGGATCAGTCTCTGGAGGGCAGACAAGTAGACTCTGTTGTTCTCAGCTGGGGTCTGATCCACCAGTCTTCAGAGGAATAGTCTGGGATGCCTTTTCTGCTTCGGATTCCTGCTTTGTTTTCTTGGCATGCTTGTGCCTAGAGACATAGAGCTCAGGAAACGCCTGTTTGCTCAAAGGGGAGCCCTGGGGGCCAGAGGCAGAGAACTCACCAGTTTTGTATGTCCTCAATAGTCTCTGGCAAGGGCCGGTTGAGGGTCTCAAGCAGGAAGAAGGCAGCGCTGCCTCCCAGGAGGGCCGTGGTCCCAAAGATGACATTAGGGATGTAGGGCTGGACCTCACTCGTGATTTTCACCAGTGGGGCTATCATACTTCCCACTCGAGCCCACACGTTACTAATACCCATACCTGTTTGCCTGGGAGGGTTCAGAGAAGGGATTGGCAGCCTCTACAGAGGACTTTCTAAAGGACACTCTTGGGACCCTTGGGTAGAAGGCAGGAGGAGGATGCTACAGTTCCATCTGTTAGCCCCTGACCCAGGTGCACCACCTACCTGAGGACTGTGGGGTAGAGTTCACTTGTGTAGAGGAAGAGGCAGCTGAAGGAGCCAGACAGGCATCCTTTCCCAAATACAGCCAGTGCTGTCCTCATGAGCGTCATTTCTGCATGGGAAGGGGTTGGAGGATGGGCCTTGGTGTTCGTGAGCACCTGAATGTTCTCACTCCTTAGCAGACTTTCTCTCCCTTTGTGCTTGTTTGGAAAAGGAAAGGTGAGTAGTAACCCATCTGCTACTCTTTATGCCTTGTCATGTGGGCCAAGTGGATTGCTGTCTACAAGAGGAACCTGAGCCCCACAAAAAGTAGGGAACTGTTTAAGGCCAACGCAGTGAATCGGGGGAGGGCTAACAAAGTTGGAGTTCACTTTCCAGCCTGCGGCAGCTTCTTCCAGAGCGGCCTAGGGTAGCCTCATCCTCTCACCTGGAGACACAAAGATGAGTGCCAAGATGGCCCCTCCAGCCAGGAGCAGGAGGAAGCCCTGGGTGATGCGCCGGCCCAGGTAACTTATGGAGAGGATTGTGATGAACTTGGCTGGGATGTCAACCGCACCAAAGATGAGCTGGAGTATGTAGATGTTGACTCCAAATTCTTCTACCCCCATAGCCAAACTGTAGTAGGCAAAACCAGTAGAAAACCTGAGAGACAGAGAGTCATGGGGTCAGCACCTGCAGCCAAACTGAGATCTCTTCCCACAGCGACCCTTGGGTTACCAGGA